GGAACAGTCTTCATGGCCAACTAACAAGGTCTCAGTTGCCAGTTACCCTGGCATGCTGCTGCTGCTGCTTTTTCTGCTCCTTTTAGGAGGTGCCATAGAGAATTAATCCAGACATTATACTTCTCCTTTGACTCTCAGCAGCATCAGTATTTTTTTCTTAGATTAATTGCTTTCATGGATCTCCTGTGAGACGCTTCCCTAATTCAAAGCCTTCTGGCTGTTACTCAGTTCAAGATACTAATTGTGCTTGAGATGAAAAACAAGCAAATTTGGCAATGCTAGATTAGTCTGTGCTTCTAGTGAGACATTTTAGCATGGGACATACATGATACTTAAATGATCACAATAATAAACACAGTAATAAGAAAGATTGTTTCTTGTGTCTGGGTTAGTTTAAGACAGCAAGTGTATTTAATATTTTCTTCCTCTACACTTTGTTTTGATTATATTTCCCAAATATCTCTAATTTCCAAAATGTAATTATTTCAGGAAAATTCCTAGATTTAGTCTGGAAAACATTTTTTCTGATTATAATGGAAACAGAGAATATTCAGAGTATCACCAAACCACTCACTGTGAAGGCATCACTCAGAAAACCGTGTATGTCTTCTTTATTTTTTTTGGAGACTATTAATGGAGAGACCGCATTGAATACAGTTGTTCTGGTTGCACTAAGAGACAGCAATAATTTAAGATTTTCAAAATGAATGTAAATTTCTCTAATGCCACCTCATGCAGAAAGCATTTGCTTCTTTTTTTTTTTGCCTCCGACATTGTATCACCATCTCTCTCATACACAGCATGAATGTCTCAAATCAGAAAAAAGTGTTGGGACATCATTCCAGTAAGGACCTCCGTGTGAATGGCTTGAATGTACTCAAACAGACCCTCCAGGTGCGGGTCCTGCTCGCTCTTGGGGCCGAGGTAACCGGAGCTGAATTCTGCAGCTCACCACTTCCCTTTGAGACATCCTACACAAATAGTTACCTGGCATATATTCACAGGACGCACCAAAATAAAAAGTTATTTGGAATTCTGTTCTGAAAGTTTAGTATTCAAGAACTATCTTGAAGCTGCCCTGTGATCACCAAACTGATTAAAAATGCTAATCAGAAGCTTGTATGATTAGGAGATTAGTACTGTCTGAACTTTGAGCTGTCTCAATTGTGTACACAGAGAGGGAGAGACACACACAGTCACACTGAGAACTGCTTCCATGGATAGCAGATTTCTTCACAAAAGATCTCTTAACTTTTCGGGGTTTTTGTTTCTTGCTTTCAGTTCCTCACAAGGGTGGCCCCAGGGTTTCTACAGTCACTAACTGTTACCTCTAAAACAGACTTTTTAACAGTCAGAAAAAGGAAAAAACTCTATGTTAAAAAAGGCAATAGTATACTTGCATTCCTGTAACTAACCATGTGCTTTGGTTTGATCCATGTGATATTCACAAGACCTGACAGAATTAATGAAAATCCCTCACATGTGAAACTCAGGATCTCTAACAATGCTTCAATTCCATGATCTTTATGTAAACAACCTATAGACGCAATTATGGAGTATCTGTGAATCACAGCCTCATCTCCAGACCCAAATTTACCTTAATTCCAGACAAACTTGTCACTGTATGTCTTCATATCAGTAACTCTTCAGATCAGGAGTGCCATGGCTTTGAAAATGTCTTCAGTGTAAAAAGCAAGTAAGAGAATAAACGGGGTAAATATAAAAATCACAAGCAACCTCTGTCAACTGTGGGGAGAGACTCAACCATCAGGACAGCCTCTCTGAAGTCATGGCCCTGGTCTGCCTTATCAGTGAAGAAGATTATAGACTTATGGCAAGTGGATACTGAAAAAACAACAAATCTCTGCAATCCCTTCCAGTGTCACCATCCTTCTATTGCTAGATAAAACCTTCATACAGAATCTACAGTCTTGTCAGCACCACAACTCTTAGGAAATACAGAACAAGGGGATGGCAGACCGATAGTCATTTTGCCACTCTGAGTGGAAGGGGAGGCTTTAGTCCCAGAAAAGAGGTGATTAAAAGCCACATGAAGAATTAGTTCACAGGCATTATGACAGCTGACAGGGTATGAAGTGGCATCTAACTATACAATAGCATCTCTGCTGACATGGCCAGCCAAGAACTTCACTGGAGCTCAAAGGCCTTCAACAAAAACCCCAGTCCACTATAAACAACAGCCCTGATCTGAAGAGCTTCACTTGCCATTATCCAGCTTCTCATGCCTCTGCATCTAATTACCCTACTAGTTCTTTCAGTCAGGGATGGCTTTTATCAGTCTGGGTTCACCTGCGAGATTCTCTACATGGCCATGGAGAAAAATAAAGGGACACAAACTGACTTGTAATCTTCTCTACTACCTTTTTTGTAGTAGGTGAGAGTTTTCAGAGTTGTATTTCCTCTCTCAGCAGCTATAAAGGGAATGAAAGAGAGAAGACTGGGGCACATCTTACTGCCATTCTTCTAACATGCAGTTGTTTGCCAATCAGAGCCTAGGTGCCCCTGGAGCCTGAACAGTTAAGGCCCACAAATTTCTGTAGCTATGTGTGTGCAGGCAAGCAACAAGGTTAACACAACTGCTTCTCTTTGGTTCTCCAGCTCTTGTAATCTCTTTTGCACTTGAGACAACTGGGCAGCCTTCAGCATGAATCTAGAGCCAATGTGTAGCTGATCACTGTGCTGTAGCAGATATAATTCATAAACATAAGAAAAAGACACATTTGCATGAAGATGGAAAACAGAGGATTAGTGATGTTTTATTTGCGAAGATTTGCTTTTGTAGGCTTGGATATTTGTATTATAATCATGACACCATTAGAAATAATGCCAAATATGATGTGTTATATGTTCTGAAGTACAAGGACAGAGATCCAGAGGGAATCACCTGAAAGGCCTTCCATTGTAAACCGAATGCTGTATTGAAAAGAAGATCTGATGAGTTAATCCTATTTTGTCTACACGGCTCCCTGACATGCAGAGCATTTCTGGGTACCTGGAAGGAATACAGAACCCATGACTGTGCTGTTGTAGGAAGTTCCCGGAACTGTTCTCGTTGGCTATCAGTAACCACTTAATTAACGTAAATAGCAAATTTTAGTTAAAAAAAAAAAAAAAAAAAAAAAAA